TGATCTTGATAAGGGCCCATTTATTATACACGTTTCAAAGATTGAGTCAAATCCTTCAAATGGAACTACTATTCGACCAATTATTTTCGGGCAATTCCTAAAGCAAAACAAAATCACCAATATAGTTAAGGATGGTGTCAAAAAAATTGGCCGCAACCGTATTGCTGTTGAATTTAAAACTGGTAAGGATGCTAATAACTTTTTAATAAATCCTTTATTAGCTCGTTACAATTATACTGTAGTAATTCCTACTTTTAATGTTACACGCATGGGTGTCATTAGAGGCATTCCAACGGAAATATGCATGGACGAGCTGGTCGACTCTTTAGTTATTCCTGATTACTGTGGGATGGTTCTAAAAGCCAGACGCCTCAATAGAAAACGAGTTTTAGATGGTCATGCTTCTTGGATCCCTACCCAAACAGTTGTTTTAACATTCAAAGGACAAAATCTCCCTGAAAGAGTTTTTTCTTTTTATACCTCTATTCCCGTTATCCCATATCAACTCCCAATTATCCAATGCAACAATTGTTGCCGTTTTGGACATATTAAATCTCAGTGCCGATCTAAACCGAGATGTTATCGTTGTGCGCAGCCGCATATGGGAGAGAGTTGTAATATTACAGAAGATATTGCTTCGTGTTTATACTGTTCTGGTAAACACTTTGCTACGAACAAGATCTGTCCTGAACAGTGTCGCCAAAAGTCGATCAAAATTAGAATGACTCAAGATAATATTTCTTTCCAAGAAGCTTCTGCTTTATATCCCAATGTAAGAAGGTTGTACTCTGAGTCAGTAAATTCTTCGACTACAACCGTACCTCAAATTGTGCATTCTCAACCCTCACCTCTGACTTCTCGTTCTTATAAAAAGACTGTTTTCCTCTCTCCTCGACAACATTCTGCCCTGGGGAAGGAATATGACAAGCAGGCTCACCAGGACATAATTAGGAATTGTCCTCCAACTCTTCCTAATGGATGTGCTCTTAGTAACTCGAGTACTAATGATATAGTTCCGAATGACGATTGTCTTGATCTTCTGTGGTTGCTTGTTGCTAATATTTTGTCGAAATTCAGTGACGTACCATTACCGCCCAACGTAGCTCCGAAAATTTTACCTCTTTTAAATTTATTAACCAAAAATGGCTCCTCTGAATATAATTCAGTGGAACAGCAATAGTATTCGTTCTAAAAAGCATGAAATCCAATATTTTATATATAAGTACTCTCCTCTTATTTTTGCCATTTCGGAGACGTGGCTTCCTAGGAATATTTCTTTCAATATTCCTGGATATCTATGTCTGCGCGATGACAGAGATGACGGTTATGCAGGAAGTGCTCTCATTATTAGTAACTCCCTACTATTTACTCAAGTCCCACTTCCTGTTCATAATAGGGATCTAATTAATGCTGTTGCTGTTAGAATAAATAATATTTCTTTTCTTTCGCTATATATCCCACACCCAAATGTATCTGTTTTATTGGAACTCCGGGTAATTATTTCTGCTTTACCACCGCCTGTGCTTATTTTGGGTGATTTCAATGCTCATCATGAGTCATGGGGCTCCTATCACTCCGATACCTTTGGCAGTTTAATTATTGATTTATTAGATGAGCTGGACTTATGTGTTTTGAACAATGGTAGACCTACAAGGAGAAACTCCCCATCACAGAACCAGAGTGCAGTTGACTTATCCATTTGCTCTTCGCGTCTATCTTCTCTTTTTTTATGGGATGTTTTAAGTAGTACCTTTGGTAGTGATCACTTTCCCATTCTTTTAACTTTACCTGACCGTACGCTCACAACATTCAGTAGTACTCCCCTTTTGAAATTTGATTTAAATAAAGCTGATTGGACATGTTTTTCTTTAGAAGTTAAAAATAAATTAAATTCATTACCTGAGATTTCCAATGCAAGTTGTTTGACTGCATATGAAGCCTTCACGGAAACTCTTCTCAGTTCTGCCAATTCTCATATTCCCACGAAATCAACGATACGTAAAAGAAATTCTCCACCATGGTGGGATTCCGAATGCACAGACATTATCCGTAAGAGAAAGGAAGCAGAGAAGAAATACAATCTGTCTATGACTGAAGAAAACTTCTCTCAGTACCAACAAATAGCTGTTCACTCCAAAAAATTTTTATCTCAAAAAAAGAAACTTGGTTGGACTAGGTTTTGCGAAAGCATGTCTCCTCGCACTTCCGCAGGCATGGTTTGGAGACAAATGAATCGATTTCGTGGTTCTATGAGGTCAAAATCTGTGTCAGCTAACGATCCATCAGGATGGGTTACCTCATTTGCTGATAAACTCGCTCCCTCGTTTGTTCCGAACTGTGACTATCTTCCTATAAAAACATATGACATCATCCCATCTGTTGGTAATTTAGATAATCCTTTCACCTTGCGGGAACTTGACTTGGCACTTGGAGGTCTTAGAGATACTGCCCCCGGTATAGATGGTATTCCATATTCGTTTCTTGTTAAGTCGAGGGAAGAAACCAAACTATATTATTTGAAATTAGTTAATACCTTTTACCATTTAGGTATCATCCCTGAATCCTGGAATAAGCAACTAGTTATCCCTCTGCTTAAACCTGGCAAAGACCCTTTGGACTATAATTCTTATAGGCCCATTGCGTTATCGTCCACCCTTTTCAAAGTGTCAGAACATATGATCAGGAATCGTCTAGAGTGGTTTTTTGAGAGTCAAGGTCTTTTGGCTAAATCTCAGTTTGGTTTTCGAAAGGGTTTCAGCACTCTGGATAATTTAAGTATACTTACGACTGATATTCGTATAGCTTTTAAGAAAAAGCAATATGTAGTTGCTGCGTTTTTAGATATAGCAGGCGCCTATGATAATGTCCTTCTTCCAATTCTCAGACGTAAATTGATTCAGTTGAGTGTTCCTGAGAAGTTGGTTCGATTCATAGTTAATTCTATTTCAGCTAGGTCTATCGAAATCAAATGTCATGGAGCGCCTTCTATAGTCAGGTCTGTTTGGTATGGTCTACCTCAAGGGTCGGTTTTGAGTCCCCTGCTATATAGTATTTATACTTATGACCTAGAGAGTGTTGTAGATTCATTCTGTCAAGTCTTACAGTATGCAGATGACGTAGCCCTCTATATAAGATCGAATTCAATCGAGGAAGCTTGCTTTCGTCTCAATACTGCGTTAAGTTATCTTGGTGATTGGCTAATGGATCACGGCTTGTCACTATCAGTTTCTAAATGCTGCAGTGTAGTGTTTACCAGAAAGCGTAACATTCCTACAGCTCAAATAGTTTTTCAAGATGTCCCTATTCCCATGAATAACCAAGTAAAATTTTTAGGCGTTATTCTAGATTCTAAATTATCAGGAACTCCTCATTTCCATAGTGTTGTAAATAAATGCGAGAAAGGGGTCAATGTTCTCCGTGCTCTTTCGGGTGTATGGTGGGGTGCTCATCCATTCACTCAAAAATTAATATATAATGCCCTAGTCCGCTGTCATTTCGATTATGGTTCCTTTCTTTTAGACCCATGTAATAAGTTGCCACTTGATAAAATTTCTAAAGTTCAATCAAAATGCTTGCGGATTATTATAGGTGCCATGAAATCGTCTCCTATCAATAGTCTCCAGATCGAATGCGTTGATCCCCCTTTGTATCTGCGTAGGCAATTTTTGAGTGATCGATTTTTCCTTAAAGTTATACAACGTGCATCCCATCCTTTACTTAAAAAATTAGAAATATTGTTGAAAGTTTCTAGTACTTCCTCCAGTTCATCGGTAGGTGTCTCTTGTATCCTCCATAGCTACAAAAAATTCCATACTCCTTCCCTTCCCATAGAACGGTATTCTCGTCTTCCTCTTTTTGAAAATAGTTTTGAATCACTTATTTTTGAGCCGATCATTCTTCTTGATTTTGGGATCGACAAAGACTCTCCATATGCCATGCGTACAATGGCACGGAAATTAGCATCGGAATATAAAGGCTGGATTTCTATGTACACTGATGCGTCCAAGCAGCATGTTAATGATCCAGTTGGATCAGCAGTATGGATTCCCGCTCACAGATTAGTATTAAGTTTCAAAATTCCCTCTCTCTCTTCTGTATTTACAGGAGAAGCTTTAGCTCTCCTTGAGGCCATCCTATTTGCCGAATCTCATAACTTTAACAAAACTATCATTTTCACAGATTCACAGAGTTGCTTACAGTCTATAATATCACATCCGTTTCGTTCTAAAAATAAATTTCCAATAATATTTAAAATAAGACAAGCATTGCATAGGTGCCATCTTAAGAAGCTGCTCATTACCCTCGCATGGATACCGGGACACTGTGGTATTCCTGGGAACGAGACAGCTGATGCATGTGCTAAGCAAGCTGTTATAACTGGCTCTTTAAAATATTCCAAACTTTTTCATCACGATCTCTTTGTACTAGCACATGAACATTTAATGAGGTCATGGAATGTTGATTGGGAAAATACTAGAAATAGAGCGGGAAAGTATTATTTTGAAATTCAGAGAACTATCCCCAGTACTCCCTGGTTCTTTAAGGAAAAGCTTTTAAGTAAAAAAACGATTTCAATTATTTGTCGCCTGAGAATTGGACATGTGTGTACGCCGGTTCGACTTGCCAAATTTAAAATTAAAGACAACCCCCTCTGCGATTGTGGCATTGAGGAAGGAACTACGGATCATATTTTATTTAATTGTTCAAATTTATCCATTTCGCTTTATGATTTGCTACCATCAAAAGTTCCACGTCCAACAAATATAAAATGTATCTTGAGTATGGAGAATCCCAGCCCATTCAAAATTTTAGCAAAATTCTTTGCAATCAATAATAATCTTAATTTATAAATATATTTGTTTTCTATATACATTCTATTTGTATTATCTTTAACAATGTAATCAGATAGACGCGCTCAGAGCTATTTTTTTTTATTTTATTTAAATTCAAAATTTTACATATTTTATTATTGTTTCTATACGTGTAAAGACCACAAACGTGACATTGGCGGAATTGTGTAAATGCAAATAGGCCATGAATTAAAAAAGAAGAAGAAGAAGAGAGCCGGTAGTTGTTGATAATAGTTTAGTTTTGTCGAAAAATCGTGCGTTTCATCAGAAAATGAGATACATCAAAACAACTTTACAAATAATCTTCTTGCTCAATGTATGTTTAGCGACACTTTCTCCACCGTCTGACAAAAAGGGCCAGAAAGGTGTAAAGGCCCAAGATGGACCACGAAAGAATAATGTTTTAGATCGTAAATTAGTTAACGAGACTCCACTTGCAAAAGATATTATCAAATATCACGCCACGTATCACCAAGATGTAGCTACAAGAAATTTTAAGAATTCTGTTTTAGGCTATGTAACTCCTGTAAGTTGTAACGAATATTGATGTTTCTTACGTAAATAGAATTACTTTAATTTTCGTTTTGTGTCAGTTGTCTTTAAATGTAATTAATTTTGCTTTTTTAATATAAATTTATGTATTACCTATATCTAAATTATCTAGCTTTAACAAGTGAAATAAGGAAATGTATAGTGTTCATAATAAATTATCAATAATAGTAATATTTTTAGTGGAACAATAAGGGCTATGATGTGGCTAAAACTTGGGCACCAAAGTTTAATTATATATCTCCAGTGTGGCTGCAGGTGAAACGTCAATCACCAAATATTTATATAATATCAGGGCTGCATGATGTAGACCATGCATGGATGAAATCTGTAAGACAGAAAGGTGCATCAAATAATCTAAGAAGTAAGTGTTGTTTTGATAAAGCATGTAAATAATGAAGAAGTATTTAAAAAAAAATTAGTTCCCTAAATCAATCAAGATGTTACTACAGTACATTCTTGGTTTCACCATGACAACCTTTCCGATTTTCTATCAAGTTTAAAAGTAAATTCGTTTCCAAAACTCAATAAACAACTCATATTCTATTTGTACTTTTTCGTATTTGTATTGATATCAAAGTTTCGAATTTCAGTTTTTTTATATGTTACTTAATAGGAACAGAAATGACCATCTTTGGTACATTCGTTTCCTGCAAAAACTAGAGCTAGAGCTAGAGTCACCATCTAATGGAGGTGCTTTTTTAATGCTTTCATTTTTTTTTAAATACTTCCTCATTAAATTCTATAAAGAAAATATTTGGTCAAATTCAATTTTCTAATTCTTTCAGTTTTACCAAGAATCTTGTTTGAAAATTGGCAACCTTCAGATCTCAAATCATTTTTCATGGAGCCCACGGCTCATACTGAGCAAAAAGCTCTTATTGATGAGATCAAGAAGACTTGCAAGCAGTGGAAGTTTGATGGAGTAGTTCTTGAGATACTCTCTCAAATTGGGAAATATGTTGATAAATCAGTGAAGTTTATACAGCAATTTGGTGAGTAAAATACCAAAAGTAAGTTTTCTTTGTTCACACAAATCACGAAATGTTTTTAAAATCAAACTGTTGATACAGGAAATATCATACATCTATGTATGCACATTCCATTTATAACAATAAGGATGATGACAATTTTTTTGTCTGTCATTTCTTTAATAACATGTCACATAATAAAAATAAAAAATAAAATGTCACATAATGGTGACATCATGCAAAAGTGTGAGCTTTTGTATAATTTCTAAAGAGCTGTGATATAGCAAGTTTATGCTCCTATACTTTAACACCAGTCATCTAAGGTATTTTAAGTTAAATTGAAGCAAAAAAATATTTATCTATATTTCTCTGTTGTCTGACTGTAGGTCTAAATAGAATTTCCTTTTTTTAACCATGCATTATCCCTATTGTTAAACAATGCTCTGTCATGATTTAAAGATGCCTCATCCTAACACATATGCCTCATCCTAATAGCTGAAATGTGTGACTTAGTTTGATATGTCTAGAAATTAGTTTTTTACTGGCCTAAAGGTTTGTTGTGAAAACAGGTTTGGAAATGAATGAGGATGACTTGAAGTTAATTCTGGTTTACCCACCATTTCGAGGCTATCCCACTGATGAATTCTTCATTCAAGCCTTCAATGATATCTATCCTTATGTAGAAGCTGTATCAGTTATGACATATGACTTTTCGAATCCACAAAAACCAGGTAATGTTGCAACCAATTTAGTCATAATAAAAACCTACCTATGAATTTTTGCATTGCTTTAATTTTTTTTTTCAAATATACTTATATTAAAAGTATTTGAAACTCTCATTAAAATCTTATTAAAGTTTAATATATGAATTTTATCAGTGTTCAACTATATATTAGTATATATTCATTGACATACTTCACAATTATTACATCATATATTAAAGTTGATCATTTGGTATACTAAAGCATACCTGACACATTAGATATTTGTCCATATATTTGACAAATAAGTTGTTTAAAGTAACTATTTAGGTATTCTTATAACAAAAATAAATATGTTTTGAATAATATTACAAATATCAAAAAGGAAAAATTGGATGTAGATGAATAATAAATGGATATATATATATATATATATATATATATATATATATATATATATATATATATATATGTTTTAATTTAATATAATTGTTTAAAATTATTTTAAATATTATATACCTATGAAATCTGGTTTCTTGAACTTTGGTTTTTATTTTACTACATATTAATTATATACTTTGTTCTAGGGCCAAATGCCCCATTATATTGGATGAGACTTTGTGTGGAGAAACTTGTCGATAACGAAGAGAATCCATCAAAGAGGTCAAAAATATTACTTGGTCTTAATTTCTATGGAAATTCATATACTGCCAATGGTGGCGGGCCAATTGTTGGCACAGAGTATATTGAGCTCCTGAAAAATGCAAAGAACAATCAGGCTCTATCCTACAATAACAACACTGCTGAGAATTATATAGAAATTCGGTAAGTGATAGTATGTAATAGAAACATTTGTAATGATAAAAAATTGTCAAGAGCGAGTCGGTCTCTCTCTGTAAGGGTTTCATACCAGTAATAAAAATTGATATTGAAGTTTTGTAATATGAAATATTTTAAATCAATATAACTACAATTTCAAATTTCGACCCACTGTAATACTATATTTTTATGAAATAATTACTTACAAGTGTATAGACTAGATTTTTTTGAACTCGATGCTATATGCTAATACTATTTCATAGATTTAGGTAAGAGGAAGTACTCTAGAAGTACCCTATCAATTTTGACTCCCTTGAGAGTGTCGAAATAGTTCCACTTTTTCGTAGCTTCAAGGGACCTGGGACCTGAGTATTAGTTTTAATATCAACTCAATATCTCCACATGGTCCCAAAATAAAAGGCCTTGACAGACAGACAGAGGGATAGCAGAGGGATGCTGTAAAAGTTCTGTTTTTTTCTTTTTGTGGTATGGAACAGTAAAAATATTAAAGGTATTAATTTTACGTAAAATGCTTGTTATAGGACATCACAGGGAGCTAAGAAGATATTCTATCCAACATTGTATTCCATTCAGAGGCGTCTGGATCTAGCACGTGAGTTTGGAACTGGTATTGCTATATGGGAGTTAGGACAGGGACTGGATTATTTTTACGATTTACTTTGATCATTTGTGATATTAATATTAGTAAGGCAATAAATTGTGATGGTATTTAAAAACTAGTCACCCTTATTTATTTATGAAATAAAAACATTTCTATTCCTGAATAAAATTGATTCATTTGGTTCCTTTTGCCTCGTATTTATATAATAATTCAAACCTAAAATCTTTAAATCTAAATTTTGATATCGAAATGATTACATGAAATAAGAAAAATAAGTAATCAGTGCGCAAATTGTAATATAAATTATAATAATACATTAACTACTAAGGATATCTCCGCTGTATCTAGATGTATCATGATAACCGATTTATATTTATATCAGTACATATATTTACAGTTTGTTAAGCTATGTATAAAATATATATATTTAAATATGACATTGAAAATTTTTTTTTACTGATGGGGGTGTAGACGACTTTCTTTTATTACCCCCCTCCCCCCTTCCCGTCAACCAAATCACATGTATTTATAAAAAAGAAATCAAAATATCTTAATTTTTGACTGCCCCAAACGGCCACCTAATTGATTATATCTTTTAAGCGCCATTTAATGTTATGACAATCCACGTTTCCTTTAATATATATTTTGATCATCCTCTGTAGCTACATTAAAATGCTATTTTTATCATAATCTCACAGCATAAGACATATCCATAAAATTATAGAATAAAACTACATATTGTTTTACATTGCTTGGTCACCCTAATTTCTTTGTTATATACATATGTTGTGTTATATAATCTAAAAATGTAATTACATCATGTATCATAAAAACAATGCGACGTTGGCGCTTCTTACTGATACTTATATAACTATTTTACGACATGATCATCAATGTTTGGTCATATCATTTAGCAGTCATTCGATCAGCCGCCCATATCGTTAATTATAACCATTACGCCAATTATTCATTGATTTGGCCAGGTCTCATCATGATGCGGGCAGCAAGTTTTTTCCATTTCATGAAAGACCGGCTCCATCACGAATTGGGAAATTCTACGATCTGGCCACGACATATACATAATGTTCAATTCTCTAAGTCCTGATATGAGTAGTCTTGACGTCACACGCTGTTAGAAGTCACGTGAAAACGTGTATAAAATATTTGTTTTTGTCATAATTCATTTAAGCAATATTATAAATATATTAAGCATAACAGCGTAATTATCGGTAATAGTATATTAAACATTACCAGAAAAAATAATTTGTGTTTATTTTCCTTACTGTCTACAGCCGTAATAACATGATGCACTGGTTATAATGCCGTTTGTGTAAAGTACAATGTGCCAAAAACTTGTAATTTCGAACATGATAATATATTTTAGAAACAAACAAGGTAATGTAATAAATTTAATCTTAAGAATAACTTAACAAAAAACGGCCAAACGTAAAAAAAATCCGATAAAAATAACAACAGTAATAAATAACTATATTTATCGCTAAATCGCAGACTTGACGACGGCGGAGTATGGAGTTTTGTGCCAGGGTGTCATGTTAATTTGTACGTGTAGTAGAAAAATTTTGTGCACTGATTAAAAACAAATACTTATTTTGCACGTAGAAGGATTGTTTTAATTAGTAAATGACTGAAAACATATAAAACTAATACTAAAAAAACTTAAGTAGAACTACTTCTATATACCTAACAATAAAATCTCTTTACAAGCCCTGTATACAAATATTGTAGATGTAGGTATTTACCCACACTACGAACTTTGCTACGTAGATATTTTTTGTCCATATGGAACACGTAATTGAAACAATTATGAGACTTTCGGTTTAGCTGCGAATCCCATCATAGATTGTGGCCCTTTCATGACTCGATACATTAAATCCCAACACATTTTTGCGGGGAGTAAGCTGAAACAAATACAACAGAAAAAATATAAAGCAATTATAAACTTATGCGCTTTATCTGTACTAATATTATAAAGAAGAAAGATTTTATTGTTTGTTTGTATGTATATTTGTTTGAACTGAATAGGCTCCTAAATTATTGGACCGATTTAAAAAATTCTTACACCACGGGTAGCTTGGCTTAACAGGCTATAATTTGCGTGGTCGAAGTCGCGGGAAAACAGCTAAGTAGTAACAAATCAAAAAAATACACGGAAGATGTAAGGTGGTACATATAACAAGCCCCATGATCTTTAAATTAAGAAAATTACATTTCTACATTGTCTAGAGTCTAGGTGGTGTTACAAGTGATTTAGTTTACCTAATTGAAAAATACGGAAAATAGTTCTTTATTTGGTTCTTTACCTTCCTATACACTACAAAACTATAAGAAGAATCTCAGACTTAAAGTATATGGTTCTTTATTAAGTTAGTGATTTGATATATTTGCGGGCTATTCATAGAATGTAGCAATTTAAAAGTTATTCTCACCACTTCAGCGGTAGCAGGTATCTGACTGAGCCAGGCATGACGCAGTTGACCTCGTTTTTGCGAATGGAATCTATCATGGTTTCGGCAACGTAATCCGGTTCGAGCATTTGCACCAGCCGTGGGGTAGCGCCATCGAACATGCCCGTGTTTATGTACGACGGGCATACAAGAGTCGCGTGTATCGTGTTATGGCCATGTGCCTAGAAAATAAAACATTTTGATTATAACTGTACTGGTATAGAAGTTAGATTCCCTAGGCATTTATGTGTTGGTTACCTAGCAATAATATAGGTTGCCAAAGTTGAACCATCTTAGATGATGATTATGTTAATATAAGAGATATTTAAGTAAAATGTTTTCTAAAGCATGCATTATAGCTCAGTTAAATTAGCATTATAAATGCCGTGTCGGTTTTGCATCTTATTGAAGATGGAAGGGCACAAAACTATATCGCGATTATCTTGGTTTTTCATGCTAATGAAAGTAAGAAATTGAGAAGTTTAAAAGGATAAAAGCGACAAATTTTGTTTTTGTTCACTAAACCGTTTTCTTAATTAGTTATTTTTTTTAAGGGTGGACAACGCTCATTGCTCTGACGTACATTCTATACTGAGAGTTCAACACGGAATTTTGGTATAAATTATAGTATTATACGTGTATATACATTACATAACAACGGTTGAGCGCTCATAATTTTTTTTGAATATTGTTGCATTTATTGAGAACTCCGATAATCGTGTAAAAACATCTTAGGTAGGGTAAAGGGTTATGTACATACCCTGAGTTCCGTAAATAAGCTCTCGTGGAAGCCGACTGTGGCGAACTTCGTGGCGCTGTAATCGGTGCAGCGGTAAGTGCCGAGTAAGCCCGCCACGGAGCCGACCGTAACGATGTGACCCTTGCCAGTCTGTATCATATCTGGCAAGAAGGACTTAACTGTCTGAAAGTAAATATAATATCATCGTCATCAATTTGTAGGATATTCTGTTCAATGCAACTGGAACATACGTTAGTGTAAGTAGGTAGATTTATCGCTCGGTTGTGGCGTCCGCCAAAGTGGACTTATTTACGACCCCGTTACTTTTTAAATTGTATGTCAATATACAATTTAAAAAGTAACGGCTTGGTGGTGGAACTTGAGATATTCGGTGTCGGCTGCCATAAGGGCAATCAATCCAAAAAGAAATTTAGTTATGCGGACGACATGGTTGTTCTGAGTCCTTCCATGAACAGATTAATAGGCCAAGACACACGAATTGTCATATAATGTGAACAAGACAGAGTTTATGATATTTTGACAAAACATGCTTAATAATTTTAATCCTAGAATTTGCTTTAACGGTACAATTATAAAACAGGTTAGCAAGTTTAAATATTTAGGTCACATAATAAAAGAGAGACATCATTTAAGTGATGATGATGATATGGGCGTAGAGTAGCTCGGTGGCGTAGTGGATAAGCGCCGCGGCCCGCGATCGTAGTCGTTAAGCAACTTTCGCAAGGGTCGGTCACGGGATGGGTGACCAAAAAATTATTATCTCGAGCTACTCCGTGCTTCGGAAGGCACGTTAAGCCGTTGGTCCCGGCTGCATTTGCAGTTGTTAATACCCTCCAATCCGCTTTGGGCCAGCGTGGAGGGTCATGGCCCATCCTCCTTAACCATCCATAAGGAAGGCCTGAGCCCCTGCAGTGGGGACGTAAAAGGGCTGGTGAAGTGAAGTGAAGATGATATGGAACGACAAAAAAGAACTTGCTGTTAAAAGTAAGCCGTGAAAGTCACTCTTTTTAGTGCCTACTGTCAGGCGTTTTACACCATCTAGCTGTGGAATCATTTCACGCAGCACGCTTACCATGCGATACGTATGCAATATACTGAACCTGCTATGGTGGTGTAGTGCGTCTGGCATGTTCTTCGAAAATAGGGTTGATTGTTTTTTGCAATTATAAGAAAAAGGGCTGCCGCTTTCAAAGATCGAATCAGAAATACCAATAATAAAATTTTACTATCAATTTACACCATCATGATAAATAATAATATGCGATTTATGAGCGATAGTATGGAATGTATTAATGAATTTGTATAATTTAATGAATTATTTAAGTTGTTTTAATTTTTAATTTGATTTAATTATTTGCTGTGATACCTTTAATGATACGTCGTATGATTTTATGTACTTGTGATAATTGTAATGAATTTATGTTTTAACTATGATTTTGATTATGTTTTGTTTTAATTTATAGCATATTTTAATTTTCAATTTTATTTTTTGCATAAACTAATTTGATGTGATATGAGCCTCAATGCTTGTACTCAATGATTATTATTATACTATACCTATTATACTAGTTACTTGTATGTTCTTGCGCGTGTCTCAAACTACCTCTATATCATAACAATCAGTCCCGTGATTTAGTGACGTACATACAGAGTTATTTTCGCGTTTGAAGACTACGAGAAAAATTACACTTTTTGTGAAATTGTGCTTTTAAAGCTTTTTTTATTTATATCCTATTAATATTATAAAGGCGAAAGTTTGTAAGTATGGATGTATGGATGTTTGTTACTCTTTCACGAAAAAACTACTGGACGGATTTGGATAAAACTTTACAGCAATATAGGTTATACATCAGAATAACACATAGGGTACTTTTTACTGGGAAAACTTCTCACTCCCACGGGATACCGACTTCCACGCGGACGAAGTCGCGGGCGTCCACTAGTTATTATATAAAATGGACGTGATTAGCTGTAAAATCTGGAGTTGTTCGACTACTTTCATTCGACAGATTCATTTCGACATGCTTTATTCACTTTTTGGTACTTTGAATAGCGGAATAGAGACGATTCCCACTCCATTCGGTTTAGTCGACGCCTAGCTAATTAATTTAATTAGTACTTGTTCATCTAGCAACCGCAAGAAGCAGGAATGTCCATCTTTCATTTTCTTTATGAAAATTTAAAGAACGACGTCTATTATCTTTGTTGCATTTATTCGACGGTCGAATACCATGCGCGTTTTTCAGTTTGCACTTTTGTCATTATTTCATTGATATTTCTACTGTTCACCAAAAATTATAGGAATGTCCGCCCTTACAATTGTTTCAATCGTGCTGTTCCGCCCAAAAATGTCAGAAATATGTATTTAATTTTTTTACTTACATATGCAATTATTTTTAAAATAAAATAGTCCTAATATGTAAAAACTAGAATTATGAATTCAACTACAAAAACTAGAAAACTAGAATATAAATGACATATTTTAAGTAGTTTCGCTTTTGTAATGGTCGTTTTAAAATTTAAGGCGAGGTTGTACTACTGTATCACTCTTTAAAACTATTTTATTCTATGGCTATGTTAATATTTGCCAAATAAAAATTAATTTCATGAATATTGACATGAATATTGATTGATAAGGTCGATTGATTGCTAAAAACAGAAACAAAAAAAAAAATCGCAAAATATTACTGAATAGGTTTTTTGGATTGATTTTACGGCTAGTACATTTCATCTTAACAATACAAACATTTTTTTTTATGACAGCATTTATTGATTTTCCGTGATTAAAAATGTATGAAATCAAGCAACCGCGTCTTTACTCTCGATGTGTATTTGTATGGGAACGTAAGCGGATATAGATAGATAGATAACTCTTTATTGTTGACATTACACTATTTAAAGAAACAAACATAAATGCGGAGGTGCAAGAGAACTTTAAATATGGAATCAAAATAAGTAGTATCTAAGAAAAGATGAAGTATGTATGTATATACGTAGGCAATAAGTCAATTTAACATTTTGTTCATTGATATATGAACTTTTATATATTTTTAAACTTCAATTCATTAATTCCAGTAGTATCGCAGAAAACCCTCTACGACAGACAGATATACACAACCGAGTAACTCCGTTTTTCCTATTTTTAGTACGGACCTCTAACACTTAACATCCAATATAGGTGGTGGTAGGGTTGGTCTCAGTTCTCCTAATGATATCGTAGTATATATAATCTTAATTTAATTTTACCATTGAAGTTACATGAGGGCCAATATGACAAGTGAAATGCCTTCTTTACAAATCGATGGTGAGAGAGATAATATGTTTGTTATTTTACGAATTAGTAATAAGAAATTATAAAAAAAATATTAAAACGCCATTGACTCGCCATCGTTACGTTTACATTAGCAGAATAGGGATGACGATAGGTTAACAAAAAGAAATTCTATTTAGTCTATCCGTCAGATAATAAAGAAATATCAGATACGTATTTTTTTACTTTAATTTAAGAAGAAATAGGTTAGATAATAAGCATTAAAGTTGAGGAGTGGGGGCTCGCTAGTCACAGTTTAGTAGAAAATTTATGTGACGCCATGTGACATTTTAACTCAGTGTAACGCTGTAATTTAATCATTACGCAGAAATTAAAAAATACGTACATTTCTCAACAATCTACCTGACGGACAAACAAAAAAAAAATAGTTGTCATCCCAATTAGGGCCTTGATATTTTTAAATAATAGTATCTTTCAAGAACCTATTAAATGAATGTACAGTTTGCTTAATATCCTAGGTTTACAGTTATTGTGATATACTCCCGCAAAAGTAATACCCACCTATGTTTGTTAATTATCTACATAATAACCGCAATGGTATCTAACTTACCCAATAGTGTGAGAGGATGTTGACTTTGTATGTTGTTTCGATCGCTGCGTCTGTGAGCTCCAAGAGTGTGTAACCGAACACTGTGCCCGCGTTATTGATCAATACATCAACTTTGCCCACCTGGAAATTAAATTAAAAAAATATTTTCGTTTTTTTATACTGGCTCGCTACATGCACATTTTTATTGACTTCATAACTTAAAAATTATTTGGTTTTCAATTTAAGTATGACTGTTTACTAAGAGTAACCGGACGTGTATTAGTTGGCTGCATTAATTTTTTTAAATTAAAATCAACATTCAGTCAATATAATACCTCTTTTTTTACTTTTTCCGCCGTAGTGTAAACTGCAGTTCTGTCCGCGAGATCGACGACATAACTCGTTATTTCATAGCCTTCGTCCGTGACGGCTTGACACGTTTTCTGTAACCCTGAAATGTTTTTTATTCATTAGATTTCAGTAAAATAAATAATAATAAACCTTTTACCTAAGATCGAATAGTACAGTCCTCTTGGGGTAGAGTCATATCGGGATTGTAATACTTTTTTCCTTAAATGCGAATACTAATTGTAAATAATCAAAGTTAATAATGAAGCGTCTTTTTTAGACTGTTTATAAACAGTTCGGAGCGTCTGAGAACTACAGCCTTGTTTGGAAAACCTTGTACTGAATAATCTATTGAAAAACGAAGCATAGCTGATTTTCGTCTCCTTTTTTCAGTTTTATTTCATACATAGTTGTTAATAAGTGTACCTATGTATTTATCCCCCATGGAAGTATATTTTTTATTTATAAATCTATCGTAGCTGATTGACCTGATCATTTTATTTTTTAATAGAGTAAATAAAATAATCATCAACAAAATCCCAAATAATTTGGGTTATTTGTAAGTTTGTAATCATAAGACGGTCACTTATAGAAAACTATGTCAAGTTAACTGGTAACAGATTGTATATGCCTAACTGCCTTAAAGAGAAATCTAAAGTGGTTTATGAACCTTACCTTCTACACTAATATCCCAGATAACAACCTTGGCACCGAGCCTCGCAAGCTTAACCGCTAGATGTCTCCCCACTCCGCCTCCGCCCCCGGTGACTAGAACCACATCTCCTTTAAGACTTTTCATAGACCTTAAAGCATTAGGGACTAAGGTCCAAAATATCGACTCCAGAATGTAATAACAGGATAACACAAGAAACAACACGGTGTCTTTTGCTAAGTTGAAGACAGTTGTCATTTGAGTGTTCACGTTTCTTTTTGTGTTCATCATGACTGAGAAAGCTGTAGTATAACTCCTTTGTTGCAACTGCAATAAAACAAAGATTGTTGTCAATAATATAGTCATGGACAATGTTACATGTTACCTATGTCGGTTTAGTTACATTGCCATGTTGCTATACAGTATCCTTTCTTAAATTGTACGTTGCTATTAGTTTCGTAGACACGTTTTGGTCATTGAGTTTCATTATATCTATAAGTATGTCTTGTTTGGAATCGATCGATGAGACATCAATGTATATTAAACTTAAAAAATTATTCCAATATAAATTATAATCGACAACTACCAAAACTGAGAATCGAGTACGGCAGATTATTGAATTGATAATTAATATGAAAAATATTTATCGCTACAGGAAATTTTCACAGGGCACAGCAGAAAACGTCTTAAACGAGAAAAAAATCCGTACTCATTTCGTTTAGATAATTGTTATGTAAATATTTTTAAATTATGTCATATTATTTATTTACATAAGAAATGACGATATAGTGGTTTTTACTAATATGAACAAAATTAAATATGGTATAGATGACAGTCATATTAATCAAAAACATTAACTATAAATTAAATTAGACCGGTAAATCTAGAAATTATAGAAATACAGTTATAATAAAAAAATATGTAATGAATCTTGTTGGGTATTTGTTGAACTATATTAACAACAAACCACTATTATGTTGACACTTTCTTTATTTACTCAACTTGCATTAACGTTAGTAACAAACATTTATAGCATAAGTCACAGGCAAAACAACGTATTATAACTGATAATTAATATAATTACGGAGCTGACACAATCACTGTCTGATGACCAGACGACAAAAGGCACGAGAGATTAGAAGGAGCGAGACAGCTATACAAATTAAACATTAGTATTTGAATACTAAACATTCTCGCACCTTATTTTAAAGTAAAGGCTGTAATTAATGCAGTATTACACAATTATTATTAAAAACTTAATTTAGAGCTCTATAGCAAATACCAACTTAGTAGTTATAGTTACAATATGAGTAAATTATCACTAAATATACAGTTTAATATTCTAGTTACAGAATAATAAGTTTTTAATATTTTATATAATAAAAGAATGAATTAACATTAGCTTATTTGCAATTAACATGGTCATTAAATATCCTTAGGAAGCAAAATTAATTTATGGACAGGTCTAGTATATTCTCCCTTAGAAGTGCGAATGACAGCTGATCTAACTAAACCATCACTTTTATTTATATTTGTAGATATAACTCTGCCTAGAGGCCAAAAGGTAGGTGGAGTAATCTCATCTTTAATTATAACTAAGTCACCAGCTTTTAAATTATGTTGTGGTTTTAGCCATTTATTTCTAGACTGTAATTCTGACAAATAATTGAAATAAAATTGTTTCCAAAACTTTTGTTTTATTTGAATGATTTTCTGATACATATTAAGTCTTGATTCATTAAACTCTAAAAGGTTAGGCTCGGGTAAGTCAGTGAGAGCTGTACCAATTATGAAATGAGCTGGAGTTAAACAATTTAAATCACAAGGTAAGTCTGTTAATGGGTACAAAGGTCTTGAATTAAGAATGCTTTCAATTTGTGATAATATAGTATATAAAAATTCGTATGTTAACTTAACATTAAACAAATGTTTCTTAAGTAGAGATTTTACAGATTTTATACCTGCCTCGTATATACCACCCATGTGGCTAGCCAATGGTACTGTGAATTTATATTCAATACAATTAGAAGTTACATAGTTATGTATATCACTATAACATTTTTCATTTTTGAACATTTTATACAGATCATAGAGATCAGATTTAGAACCTTTAAAGTTAGTAGCATTATCTGTATATAGGCAAGTAGGTATGCCTCTTCTTGCAATGAATCTTTTTAAAGCACAAATAAATGACTGAGAGGACATATCGGTAACTAATTCAAGGTGAATTGCTCGAGTAGACAGACACACAAATAAACATATGTATCCCTTAGTGTATTTACAATTTCTAGTCATAGAATTTCTAATTGATATAGCACCACTAAAATCAATTCCTACATGACTGAACACACGTGTTAAAGTAACTCTAGGTGCTGGGAGATTCGCCATCTGTTGGCCACAGACCTTACCCTGATATCTAATGCACCTGACACATGAGTGAATGCATTTTTTCACCTGGCCTCTGCCATTGATAGGCCAATATTTTAGTCTAATATTATAGAGTGTGTTCTGTATGCCTGAATGTAGTAGTTTTGTGTGATAGTGCTGTATTATAATTGACGTTAAATGATCTTTAGCAGGTAATATGATAGGGTGTGCTTGACTATATGGTATATCTGAGTTTTGTATACGACCCCCTATTCGTAATAAACCTGACTCATCTAAAAAGGGATTTAACTTTTTAAGAGGACTATGTGAGAATATGTATGATTTTTCTTTATTTGTTGTTGACTGATGTGTGTGATTCTTAACTTTTGGTTGAAGATGTTTGCAAGAATCAATAAGATTGTTTTGACAAGAGCATGCGTTAATGTTGGTGTTGGTGGACTGTATCTCATGAATTTCCTTTGAAAAGGAATTATACTGACATATTTTAATTATAAAATTATGAGCATGTTTAAGCTCAGAAAGAGAAAGACAAGAACTGAGTTTACTGGCTTTATTCTTTATATTATGCAAAAATCTGAACATATAAGCAATAGATCTTATTAAATTTGTAAAATTTGAATGCTTGCAAAAGTACTCATAGAAAAAATTGTAGTTTATTATAGGCATTACAGAGGCTGTAAGTACATTGCTTTGAGAAGGTGATGATTCTTTTAAAATACTTTGAGTTGCCTCAATAGGATGAGAAATATGTATAGGCCAAGAAGTAATATTTTCTATCAACCATGAAGGACCCTGCCACCACAAAACAGATGAATGCAAGGCAGTAGGCATGACTCCACGAGTTATCAAATCTGCTGGATTTTGTTTTGTGTTAACATAATACCAGTCATCGCTTTTAGTAGTTTCAATGATTTGCATAAGGCGGTGTGTAACATATGTATCTAGTTTAGATTTATAAGGAAACTTTATCCAATAGAGTACAATAGATGAATCTGTAAATAGATATGTTTGATTAATATTTATAATGTCTTTTGTTGAAGCAATAAATCTGTTAGCAAGATGAGCCAAAAGGAGTGATCCGCTTAGTTCTAATCTAGGAATAGATTGTTGCTTTTTAATCGGTGCAACTTTAGATTTAGCAGTTATCATTATGGAAGTAGGCTTTTTATTTAAATATGTACCCCTTAGGTATAGACAAGCGCCATAAGCTTTGTTTGAAGCGTCACAGAAGCCTATTAAATTTATAGTCTCAGGGATATCAGAAAAGCAGTATCTGTGTATTTGAATATTTTTTAAATAATGCAATTGAGAAAGAAAATTGAGCCAAGCATTTTGTATATCATTGGAAACTGGGGTGTCCCAATTTATATTTTGTCTCCAAATATCTTGCATTATAAGTTTAGCTAAAATAGTAACAGGTGATAAAATACCTGTAGGATCAAAAATTTGAGCTATTTGCGATAAAATATTTCTTTTTGTACAAGGTATATCATGAAGATTGGGAATAAAAACCTGAAGTTTATCTTCTGAGGGCAACCATTTTAGACCTAATGTCTTTACTGAACTAGGTGGCATAAAATTATAAAATTCAACATCTTCATGAGTGTTTTGATCATGAAAATTAGTTGATGAAGAATCTAGATTAGTTAAATTTTTATACAAATCTGGAAGATTTGATGCCCACTTATGTAATTTAAATCCAGCTTTACTTAATACATTAATAAGTTCTAAGCACAACTGATATAGTTTTTCTTTAGAATTTTCTCCACATAGAAAATCATCCATATATGAATTATTTTTCATACAATTTGCAGCTAATGGATTTGACTTGCTATATTTTTCAGCTAAATGTTGTATTGTTCGACATGCTAAATAAGGTGCACATTTGGTGCCATAAGTTACAGTATCTAATTCAATACACCTGAGTTTGTCGGAAGGAGAATCTCTCCATAATATTCTTTGTAAACGAGTTTGCAGAGGATTTACTAAAATGCCTCGAAACATCTTAATAATGTCACAAGAAAATGCATATTTATACAATCTGAATCTCATAATGATTTCCAATAAGTTATTATATATATTAGGACCTTCATATAAAATATCATTGAGAGATATTCCAGTTGAAGTTTTTGCGCTAGCATTAAATACTGTTCTTAATTTAGTAGAAATATTATCAGGTCTTAAGACCGCAAAGTGTGGCATATAATAAGCATTATGATCAGTAGGTGAAAAGTTTTCTATAAAATGAGCATGACCGAGATCTATAAATTCATATATAAAAGCTTTATATTTACTATGTAGTTCAGGATGTTTTTGCATTCTCGATTCGAGTTGTAATAAAGATTTGTAAGCAATATTAAATGAATTACCTAATTCCTTAATTTTATCAGTTTGGATAGGTAAGTTGACAATATATTGTCCAAATTCATGTTGTTTGGTAGTGGATTCAAAGAGCTGTTCACAATACCTATCTTGTGGCGAAAGAATTTTCTCTTTAGTACTAGGTTCTTCCTGCTCCCAGAAAGATTCTAGCAATTGATCTGTTTCATTAGAAGTAATGAATAAGCTAATAGGTTGTGTATTATGTTGAGTGGTAGTGTTGTCTATGGCGACTGGACCTGACACAATCCAGCCAAATACACTGCTTATGAGATATGGCAGGTTGGGACCAAGCTTCATGCGTTTATGTTGCATTACAGAATAAAATATTTCAGCACCAATGAGCAAATCGATAGTGCTAGGAATATAGAAAGTTGGATCTGCAAGTGTTTGAGCCTGCTTGTGCGGTATAGGCCAAGTGTGTGTAGCAATGTATGTATGTGGTAAAGGCACAGTAATGTTTTCCATTACTAAAAATGAAAGATTAGCAGTGTAGTTTTTGTAACGTGATGAAATAATAGCATTTGCACTCACTTGTAATGATTGTTGGCTATTGCCAATACCTTGTATCAGGCATGCATTGTGATTTAATTTAAGCTTAAGCAGGGTAGCAAGTCTATGACTAACAATGTTCACTTCACTTCCAGCATCCAGAAGAGCGCGTGCATAAATCCACTTTCCAGAAGAATCTTGTATGCGTATAATAGCTGTGGAAAGCAAAATTTGATTTTTATTATTGTTGGACACCAGCACCGTGGAAGGAATGTTGCAAGAGGTATCTTGCATGTGAGAGATGTGTGACTGTGTGCAGTCGAG